GAAAAATGTAAAGTGGAACTGGAACGCTGATTGTCAGCGTTCCTTTGAACGTATCAAGCAAAGCTTGATGCAATCGCCAGTGTTGGCGATTGCCGATCAAGACAGACCATTTCATGTGGTCTGTGACGCCAGTGATTTTGCAATCGGCTGCGCACTGATGCAATATGATACAGACGGCGCCGAGCGTGTCGTCTGTTATCAATCGCGTCAGCTGCAACCGGCTGAGCGCAATTACCCGGTGCATGACAAGGAACTCCTTGCCATGAAGTATGCACTGGCTAAGTTTCGCGTCTATCTCTTAGGAGATAGACCGTTCATTGTATATACAGACCATGCGTCACTACGCACGGCTGTAAATAGTCCACACCTCTCGCAACGTATGGCGAGATGGTTGTCGTTCTTCGCGGATTCAACTTCTCCGTGGAGTATAAGCCGGGACGACTTAACGTCGTCCGATGCTCTTTCACGTCGGCCTGACCTAGAGCCGACTGTGCAATCCGACATTGATGTGAACACCACTGTCGCCACGCTGAGTACCAGCGTCTTGTCGTCGATCTTACTCGACGACATTAGAATGGCATGCGCACAAGATAATGATCTTGTACGCCTGATGGAGTATCTCAAGGACCCATTCACGTAAGCTAAGAAGCGCTTGCCTGTCATGTATCGATCTTCTCTCGATCGATATATCCCAGCGGAACGGCTTACTGTACTACACAGCCGTCAACAACGACACGCCTCGTGTCGTTGTACCGCCACAACATGATCTCAGGTTACGGATCATGTTTGAATGTCACGATGCACCAATAAGTGGGCATCGCGGCCGTGAGAAGACTTACCTCACGGTCAGTCGCGACTTTTACTGGCCACGCCAGTATAAGTTTGTGCGCAAGTACGTGCGTGCTTGCGAGGTGTGTCAACGAGTGAATCCTATTCCTTCACTGCGTGCACCATTGCAGCCTCTACCTGTTCCGGCAGAGTGCTGGGAGTCCGTATCAATGGACTTCGTCTTTGGGTTTCCCAAAGACGCTCACGGGAATAATGGTATTCTCGTGTTTGTAGACAGGTTCAGCATGATGGTACATCTTGTTGCTGTACCTGAGTCGATCACAGCAGAGGGCTGTGCTCGAGTGTTTATCGATACAATCTTTCGATTGCACGGTTTACCCCGTGAACTTGTGTCCGATAGGGACCCCCGGTTCACGGCTGAGTTTTGGCGTTCCGTGTTCCGAACACTTGGAACACGGCTCACAATGTCTATTTCTGACCATCCAGAAACTGATGGTCAGACTGAACGCGCCAATCGCATCCTCGAAGAGATTCTTCGAGGGTACGTCCACTCGTTTACGAGTTGGAGTGAGTTCTTGTCGAAGGTCGAATTCGCCATCAACAACTCCGTGCATGCGTCTACGACGCATACACCGTTCTACGTGAATGGACTTCGCCATCCACGTGTCCCCACCTTAGTAGAGGGAGACTTTAATTTAAGGGGGGAGGGACTCGCTTGAGCGAGAACCAATCTGGCTCTTGCTCATCACGCGACGACGTTATGGTCGACGCGAAAGTAACCGAAGTCGTACCATTCGACTTCGATGAAGAGGAAGAAAGTAAGAGCGATGACGCTCTTACTGATAACGATGCTGAAGATATCAGCATCGCTCGAGGTATCACAAGTGAGAACAGTAATGTTCTCGCTGAATTAGTAACCGATATCTCTGCAGTGCATTCACAATGCACTGCAGCCAAAAGCAACGAGTCAGCTGAGGATTTCCTGCTGACTCGTGAAGCGGTAGTCCGTTTCGTGCAAGATTCCATCGCGGAAGCGGTGGATAAGCAAAAACGAAACGCAGACAATAATGGAAGGGCAAATGCTCAAACATTTATTGAAGATGATTTAGTTTTACTGTCAACAGTAAACCTACCTAAACATGTAGTGACTAACGTGGGCAGCAATAAATTGTTGCCCAAGTACATCGGCCCGTTTCGTGTATTGCGCCGCCTAGGCAACGCATACACGATCGAGTTGCCACGCAGGATGCGTACGCATCCTACGTTTTACGTGGGACGTCTTCGTCCGTACGTTCAGTACGCGGCTTCTTCGAACGACGAAGATAGCCATTACTCTCAAGAATCCCCTTCAGATTCTTGTTGTCACGAACCAGATTCGATATCTGGTCGTGTAGAGATGAGATCTTCCCATGATATTGGACGATCTCCTGACGAGCTGTCGCCAGCTCGTTACTCAGAGAATGAAGACGCCGCTCATTCTCCAATAGTGCGACAGCATTGTTCGCCCGAGACCTCTCATGGTAAAACCCAAGCTGTCGCAAATGTCCTCTAAGCGGCGACGCTTATCCCGTTCGTGATCAACATCACAACGGAGCTCACGAGTTACACGGGCAAACCCGTCTAACTCAGCAGCCAAGTCCGATGAAAGAATCGGACAGGGTTTTCCCTCCACCACCGCATCCGCTGGTGGACTCCCATGGTGGGAAGCGCTTCCTCCAAGAACGCTTACTAAAGCACCGCGAGGTGAAGGGACGTCGGACGAGTTATCTCGTTCGGTGGCGTGGCTATCCGCCTTCGGTGGATAGCTGGGAACCTCGGGCCCAACTGATGGCCGACGTTCCCGGCCTTGTCGAACAGTACGACAAGGGGCACCCGATGATGAAGGACCATTGGAAAACGAGCGCCCAGCGCGCTCGTAAAGGGATTGCAAAGTAGCAATCCCTTCACGCATCTCAGAAGAGATGCGAGCCCTCCACCAGGGCTCAGTAAGAAGGTACGCCTCCTTAGGCGCTCTTGACGAGGTGCTCAGGCACCCCGGGCATGGGTCGCCCCAAGAGAGGCATAACAGGACTGCCTCTCTAGATAACCGGTGCAAACGATAGCATGCACCGGAAGTACTTTGCTTCTTAAAATTATTGCGGCTAGCATAAAGTCTTTGAAACCAAGCCTCTTTCCCAACGTTTAAAACGTTGGTGATAAACGCGTTCCAAGATTGGAGGAACGCGTCGGCCTCACGCTTCTTGTGTGGGCCATACCATCGATGTTCAAGGAACACATCGATGTAATAATCGTTCTCAGTGCGAAAGTTCTTCGCACTGGCGTCAAGGCCATGAAGCTTTGACGCATCAAACAACGGTATGGGGAACCGTTCGTTGGTCTGGAAAAACCAACGATCAAGCAGATGCTTAGGTAGCATCCATGGCTTGCGATCAGGAGCAAGACGCAATACGTTGCGGTCTAAAGCCTCCTGCGTGGTGTCAACAGAAGTACCGACACCACGAGCATTAGTGTCAACAGAAGTACCGACACTATGAGCATTGATGTCAGTAGAAGCACTGACATCACCCTTACGGTCCCCACCCGAGTCACTATCCTTCGACTCGTTTGGCGAGTCGTCTGATTCATCAGACGACCCGAACATTTCACGGTACATTGATTCACTCAATGTACCACGATCCCTCTTCGTAACATTCGACGACGAGGTATCACCCCGGGGAGAGCCCGGGAGTGACACAGGTGGCTTTGAGTAGGATGCGTCATCCGACTCACCAGAGTAGTCAACGACTAACTCTGGGTCAACATCTTCACGTGGCGAAGCGCTACGTGAGCCTGCAACAGGCGTTGAAGGCTAATGCTGACTTCCAGCAGACACATGAGTGTCTGCTGGCTGAGGCTGTAAAGCCTCAGTAGCGGCTGCACACAGGCGTGCAGCCGAGCTCTTAGCTGCCTTAGCAGCGACGCGCATTGAATTTGTCATAGCGTAAAATTGTTGAATGAAAGAAAATTCAACAAGTTCTCCTTTCCCATAGTCACTAAACAGTCACTTATGTGACTGTTGGTTCATGGGGGGGGTGATGTAACGGGGTGAGCTCGTTACATAATATTGACACTTATATGAAGTGTCAATAAAATATTATTATAACTAATAATATTTTGACAATATTACCTTTTCTTATAATATTGTTCCTAGATCTCCTTGAAGTTGGAGATGCCCTCTCATTGGTTGATATGGGCCATCATATCAACCAACGCGCTGACCAATGACCGATGGATGCGCGCAATGAGTGGAGGGCAAGTTGTCGACATACATAGTTGTAGTTTAATATAGTTAACATAGGTTATAACAGATTAGTTTTATTAGATAGTTAACTATATTAAATACAGTTTTCTTTTCCCCTACTTCTAAGCGTTTGTTTAGAAGTAAAGCTTCCTCTGCCTCTTGTGTAAGAGAGGTAATTGAGGCACCTGCTTTCACTGTAATCAGTGAAAGTAGGCTATACTGTAATCAGTATAGTCGGAGGGTGCCCCATTACATAGCCAGCATATATCGCCGGTTTACCGGGAATTTCTGATTTCGTTCTCCTTAAAATCTCTGTGTGAATACGAACACTAAACAACCCCATATCCGGACATCACGCTAAATCCAGACGCCAGCTGCAGGCCACTGTCACTTCCACTTTCAAACGTGAAACCTCCACTTAACATTCCACACGATCCTGCCAAACCCACACTTGTGGTGGCAGAGTCCCCACTCGATCCACTAGGTGCAATACCAGACGTCACAGTACTCGCAGCGGTCGTAACTTTACTTACACTCGTCAACACATCACTAGTGGCTGTATCGTTCGACGACATCTCACTCACTCCAGACATTGTGTTAATATGTTATTTGGACAGTGCAAGGAGACTTGGACTCATAACTTGTCACGCTTATCACACCCTGCAGGTGAGTGTCGCCGTTTTGTAAGGTAAACAATACAGAGTAGGGAATATATAACACGGAACACTTGCTTTCCACTGAGCAACTTTGAAATTGAGGAGGAAAAAACCTCGTAGGTGACAACCCCCTCTGTTAGACTAGACTCTACAGTGTATACCAACAAGTCATACCTCAACTGTAACGATGTGTCCTTGCATCATACGCGCCACACGTAGAATCAGGGACACGACACCTTGTACTTCGTCACAGTTACCAGAATCGACAGTCTCATCTAGTCGGTCTGGTACTTGGCGAGGAAAGTAAGAATTACACCATTGGACCAACCGAAACCGAATTGCGTCGTATACTCGCCTCCGCCGCCAATTCCACCAAGTTGCAGGGCACTGTACTTTTCAAACATAAAACCCGTTCTCTGCCATGCCACGAAACCAGCCTCGACCCACGTCTTGACAAGGCGTTTCGCAAGTGCACGCGCTTTTTCAGTGCCTGCTGTCTGCAGACCTTCAATGATGATATCCTGCAGAGGCGGCCAGGCATTAGGTGCGTCCCACTGCTGGCCTGTGACTGAAGTTGTGGTTTGAACACCACCTATCTGCACCAGCCCAGACTTTTCCAGAGACGCCACGATCTTGTCCACACGCAATGTGTCAGAGGAATCGACAATTCCTCCCCACAGCGGAGAATAATTGGACACGGACACCACTTTGGAATGCTCGCGGGAGTCCAGCAAATAGTCCTTCCAGCATCCCTCCGACTCGCTCCACAACACGGCGTCCATTGCAGCCACCCGAATTTTTGCTGCATGAAGAAATCGTGCCGATGCGACAGAGTTTCCTAGTATCTTATGAAACTCTGCAAGGTTAAGTTCCACTCGGTGCATAATCGAATTCAGCTCTACAGGAATCACTCGAGAGGTATGAATCGTTTCAAGCGTTGAATAGTCACCAAACCATCGACTGCTGAAGTCCCAACCACTTTCCGCTGCCGCGATGATTTCGTCGTAGATTAAAGCCTTGTCTACACCAGCAGCAGATGTCGTATTAAAGTCTTCACGGTACGATTCCGGTCGCGGTTCAGCTGCTTGCGCTACGTATCGGTTGAGCACAAAACGTTCACCTGCAGACTGCAAAGACTCACATCCGAGTATCTCGACAGCATGACCGTGAGTACCACGATCCATCCAGAAATCGTACTCGCGCTCAAGCAAAGGCACCGCACCACGCAAGTATTGAAGATCCCAGGTGCTAATGTCACCATCTGAAGCATTGGTACTGTCAAGCTTTGCAACAAGTTTTACCATATCCGAGAGCATTGGCGGCTGTGAACGTGTAAGGTAGTAAATGCGTCCTCCGTTGGGAACAAACCCAAATTCAGCCACATATTCGAGCAAGTGATTCACGACCCCGCGAGCTGTTTGATGCAACCCGCTAATCAATAGTCCTTTTACAATCCAGAGCGAATCCCAGTAGTAACTCTCACGAAAACGTCCACCAGGCAAAACAAGAATGTTTTCTCCATTAAATTGACGTTTAAATGCGCTTAGTGGCTCATTCGATGCTGAAACAATAGGAAGCGAGCGAAGAAATGAGCTCTTAGACACTTGGTCTGTCGAGACAGACGCAGGGACACGAGCTAACAACTTCCACAACTTGTGTAAATCCATAGCCCAACCACGTAGACTATCATTTCTGATATTTGCAATTTGTGGTGGCATCTCCTTTTCTTGATAATCTGGTGGGGTGACAGAAACCAACTCTGCTCCTGGTGGATCAAAGTGTTGGTTGACAAACGTAGCAAGTTGAGCTTTCCAATCTTCTCCTTTTGTTGTGTTCACAAAAAAAGAAGATTGGAGTTTCTGGAACTCGGTCAGAACTTCATCCACTGACGACGTAACTTTGATAGGCATGTCCACAAAGTGTTTGCTGTCTGAAAAGATCTCCTGCATTTGCACCTCATGCAGTAACTCACCTCGACAGTAAATACGCTGGAGCTGCTCGATCTCTTGTTTTCTGAGATTGTGACTTGCTTGACTGACGGTGATCTCGTCAGGCCCCATGAGCTTAGGCGGCTCAACATCCAGAGCAGGACGAATCAACATTTGATCTAAAGCAAAAGCAATCGCAACGGTCCAAAGATGGAGCAAGAAGAAGAAGAGAGAGGAATGTCGTAATACCATGAGCTTCTAAGTATAAAACGACCAATATGTCTTTGAGAAATCTAAGGAACCAGGACCGCACGTTAGGATTAGAGGGGGTGGGGTCTTTGACGGAAGCCTTGACAGCTGCTACTCCGGCCTTTTCCGAACCCGTGTTCTCGTGCCCATCCTTTGATCGCGTCCATTATTTGTCTGCCTATCACTGGCCGCCATTGGGACTCATAAATACCCAATGTGATATTGCGTAGAAGAGTTGTTCGTTGTCTGCTTTAGAATAGTTCCTAGTCGTGTTCGCAATGCTTGTCGATTTATAAAGCCCCTTCGCTTGTCAATCCAATAAAGACCGATTGGGTGGGTATCAATGAATAAATCAATGTTATCGCCATCATAACCTGCTCTTCGTGTCGACTGACCGGCGAAACAGCGTTCAAAAGCTCTACCATTGTAATCTTTTCATTTATTAGCTGTTGGCAGTTGCCGCTTCATCAACATATTGACGGAGATGTCAAACTCTTTAGCTAGACACGCAACAAGTGGAGTACCGGGGAAGCGACATTGAAATTTGAAAAGAGGCCCGTTCCACAGAATCTCTTTACAGGCTTCAATGTCGCTACGCGACTTCGATTAACTCGTCTTGAGCTTCGAAAGACTTGCAAGCAGCTAGAACATAGTCAAATCCAAAACGTATCCTGTGTTGCTTCTTCTTGGGAAGTTTTTTAGACCCGAATTCTTCTTCAAGACGCTCGTCTATACGATTTAATGCTTCAATCATGTTGTTCGCCAGTTCACTGTCCTTAAACAACGGTATGTGACGTCTTCCCACGTCCAATTGACGGGTGATAGCAGACCGTCCATACACATTGGTAAGTCGAACACTATTGGTGACTTTCATCCCCGCTTTCTCAAGCTGACGTTGCGACCAGTCAATCGGATACTCCCGATAACACCGACGTCCTGCTAATAGCAGACAAGCGTCACGTGTACGTGCCACTTCCTGAATTAGTTTCTCAGCCTTAATATCTTGATCACTGGCACTTGCTGGAGCTTGAGATTCACTCCACGGCTGCAATCCCACCAAATAAATCCTTCCTCCTGGAACCAACAGTTTTTCCAGACGTGTACATATCTGGTCTTGGTAATATGGTGCAAAGCCTTCAATAGCCCCAATCAAATAGTCTATAATACAAAACATATTAACATACGTGACGTTAGCTACATCAATTTGCTGTCTTTGTATGTACCACACAACTTTTGTTTTACCAGCAATAATGACGTCAAACGATTTTTCATTGGTCAAAAAATCGTCATTTTGCCAGTTCCCAACCTGAAGTTGAAGTAATGGTGTCGTACTGGAGCCAAATTCGGCCGTAAGGTCAGCGGCCAAAGGGTTTTCCCCCGTCACAGCAACGACTTCTCGAATGAGATGAGAAGCTGCACCATGTAGTAGCCACGTAAGAGAATGACGGCCTGTACCAGAGTCTAGAACACGTCCCCATGAAGAGTTGAAAACTTTCAAATGCTTGTGTTCGCATTCTTCAATCCACTGGAAGAGCGAGTCCGTCTTGGTAGCTGGCGTCATGATAAACAAAAGTAAGGATTTATGTGGTACACACGATATTGTTGCTAGACTTTTTCAGGGTATTACTGATCGGATAAGAGAGGGAAACACTTGAATATTTTTGCTTGATAAAAATGTACAATTTTGTCCAATCAGAAGTAATCGTTGCTGAATTAATTCATTAAAGAGGTAATGTCGACGTATGAGAAGATACTGATCCCACCGCTTAATTTCTCCATGGTAGCTTCTGGCGTCTATCGCTCAGGTTTTCCCAATAAAAAGAATCATGCATTTCTTCAACAACTTGGTCTTAAGTCTGTTTTGTACGTAGTAAGTCTTGAAAATCTTCAATTTAGTACTTCCTTTATAATGATGATATTCATATTCCACACAGATATCTCTGTCATCAAGGCCACCAATTGGAAAATGTCATTTTCTTCAAAAAGAATAACATTGAGGTATTTCAATGCCCCATTGATGGTAACAAGGTAAAAAGAAATTGATTGGATGCAATGGATGCAAGCTGAAGGTTTTTACTGATTACTAAACTTCTTGGTAGGAGCCATTCATCAGCATTAATCCAGATGCAATGGCTGATGCGTTGCGTCATCTACTCGGTATGTGAGCTGAACTACTTCTGACGTAGACACTGAAGGCTCATTTGTATACTTGATACTTTGTATGTTGTTTGCAGATGTGAGAAATCATCCGATATTGGTGCACTGTACGAAAGGAACAGTGCGTGAGCAGCTATTGGAGGGTGTTGGAAAGAGAATCAGGCTAATGAATATGGTGTTGCTATTGTCATTGCTCTCGTAGCACCGTACAGGTTGTGTGATTGGGTGCATGCGCAAGATGGAAAATTGGTCGCTCACTTCGATCATCGACGAGTATTGCCGCTTTGCTGGTCCACGCATGCGTCTACTTGACCAGCAGTTTATCGAGTTCTTTGCTCCTACGATTCAATACGATGAGAGACAAAAGCCTAAATGGCTCACTTAGAGTCGAGGCAAACGTTCTTTGGTGTCGTGAGTTAATTACCACAATCATGGGGAAGGTGCCAAGCAAATTGAGAAATACATGTACGCAAACGCAATTGCTTGCATCACTCAGTTGTAATGTATTTAGCGTTTTATGACCTCTGCATCGGATTCCGCATGGCCAACTCTGGTCATTCGATACGGTTTTTGTGTCATGTCATTTCGTTCGTGTACAACATATCACACTTGCTAGTCCGTACTCAGGCCACACCCAGGCGATCCGTAACTTACGCAGACTTGTAAGCCGAGCCGTCGGAAAACTTGTCCACCCACGTTTGGTTCTCAAGGGGAGCACCGGGCCACGACTTTTGAAAGTGATCTTCCGGCTTAAAGCTGGACGGATCCTCGATGCGTTCCACAATCTTATGCTTAAACTTGCGGATCAGACCCTGTACGGGCCAGGCGGCAGCGTCACCCAGAGCGCAGATCGTGTGGCCCTCGATCTGACGCGAGATTTCCTCCAGCATCGGGATCTCCTCAAGTTCGGCCTCACCCGTCTCCATGCGGGTAAGTACCTTCTCCATCCAGCCAGTGCCTTCACGGCACGGCGTGCACTGACCACAACTCTCGTGGGTGTAGAAGTGCGAGTACCGACGGATGGCACCCACCATGTCAACACTCTTGTCAAAAATGGTGACGGCCGCCGTGCCTAGACCGGAGCCACCACGCTGCTTCAAATCATCATAATCCATCATGATATCCTGGCATAATTCCTCATCCAACACAGGGACAGAAGACCCACCAGGGATACACGCCTGCAAGTTGTCCCATCCACCACGAACGCCACCGCAGTGACGATCAATTAAATCACGAAGAGGAATGCTCATTTCCTCTTCTACTATGCATGGATTATTAACATGTCCAGAGATGCAGAAAAGCTTGGTCCCATGGTTGTTCTTACGTCCAAGGCTAGCAAACCACGATCCCCCACGACGTAGGATCGTCGGAGACACAGCCACTGTCTCCACGTTCGTCACCGTCGTGGGACATCCATACAAGCCCGTATTAGCCGGGAAAGGTGGTTTGAGTCGAGGTTTACCCTGGCGGCCTTCCAGACTCTCCAGCAGTCCAGTCTCCTCTCCACAAATATAAGCACCAGCACCACGATGTAGATACACATCAAAGTCATATCCAGATCCACAAGCATTTTCACCAAGGAATCCACGTTGATAAGCCTCATGAATAGCTTCCTGAAGGATCAAAGCCTCATTAAAGAACTCGCCACGAATGTAAATGTACGCAGCACGCGCACGCATGGCAAATCCAGCAAGAAGACAGCCTTCTACTAGTTTATGTGGGTCTTTTCGCATAATCTCTCGGTCTTTGCATGTGCCTGGTTCACTCTCATCAGCATTGACTACAAGAAAAGAAGGACGACCGTCTGTCTGTTTAGGCATGAACGACCATTTAAGACCACTTGGGAAGCCAGCACCTCCACGTCCACGTAGACCCGAGTCTTTAATCTCTTGTACAATCCATTCAGGACCCATACATAAAAGATCCTTTGTGCGGTACCAATCTCCACGACGCAATGCCCCATCCACACGCCAAGTGTCTTCTCCATAGACATTCGTAAAGATGCGATCTTCATCTTTAAGACCACCGTATACACGTGTCATCGCAGGATCTTCTGCTATTACATTGGTTATAAGACCACTAGAACGAAATCCCCGTGCGTGAGAAAACGCCTTCTGTGTCACACGAGAGACGACGCTCTTCATTCTCTTTTACTTGAATGCTGGCCGCACACGATGCTTTGTGAGCCGTACAAATGGATGCGATTTGACAGGGATGCCAGTGATATGGTGTGGACCACTGGGATGAAACGGTTTCATAGTAATTTGAGACGTCCATTTCAAAATACTTCATTCATTAATCGCTTCCCAAAGCACGATACATTATTTGAGCATTGGTATAACTGTCCTACTAATCACTCATCCATAAACTAGCACGTTATTTCAAAGCAATAATTAGCAGCGGCTTGTACATCACCATTTTTCTTTTGCAACGCATATACGGCAAGCTCACGGGAAAACCCCATGTCAAGTAGCGGCTGCACACGCTTGGACTTGCGGAATCGGATTACTAGCGGACGTGTCTGAGCTTTGATCATCTTTAAAGCGCGATCCACCTGATAGTGTTGAAGCGGGTGGCCGTTGGCCTGCAAAATGGTGTCAAATATACCGATCTGGCGGCACTTTTCAGCACCAAACATACCACCCTTTGCTCCACGCGGAAAGCTGGTCACACATAGCTCGTTGTCGACCTTCTCCAAGTACATACCAAGTAAGCACGAATCACCAAAGCGCACGTCGTATTCGTCCTCACCCAGAGGTGCATTCATAGAGATTGTACGAGGGCACATGGCGATGGCCGCCGACACCGGCGTAATATTCTGCATAATGGAGTCACAAAGGCTTAGCTCTTCCAGTTCAAAGTCTGGATTTGCTTCCAGCTCCGTTACTGCTTGCGCACCGCCTCGCCCACTGGAAAGGGTTGATTCTTCATCTACACTGTGAAGCTCTACATTGTCTTTGTGACGCTCATTTTCTGACGATTCTTCCTTGATAGACGGTTCGCCAGGCTGAGACCCGATTGATAAACTCTTCTGTCTTTCCACGTTATTTGATCCATCATTTAGAAAGATACCAACGGACGAGTCCTTGCGTTGGTCAGGAAGTTCGTAAAACAGCAAAACTGGTTGGAACCGTCCCTTTAGACACTCCAAGACAACATTGCTCCAAGTACCTATCTCAAGAACCCGCGAGTCGTCAAAAAGTAACCACATTTCGTGCGCGGTGCTGTAAAATAGAGCCACGTAATGTCGTCCATAGTAACAAACAAAACCGCGCAAGCGGTATGTTGTACGCACTCCACCGTTTTTAAAGCGGATGACCGGTCCAGCAGCATCAAAGCACTTGGCCAAATCCATGCGGTCTTCAATGTTTCTTAGCACTCCTTGCACTTGTTCCTTCGATGCGTTCTGAGTTGCCCAAAGAATTGACATTGTAAACACCATGGGAAAACGATGAATAACCCGCTCCTTACTTAGCTTGCCACTGCATCCTTTTTGTTCGCACTTGGACGCAACGTCCGCCTCCTGTGCTGTGAGTCGACGCAACATATGCTCCATCGATTCGTACTTACAAGCATACAAGTCACTCGCGTACGTCGAGTACACGAGATTAGAGTACAGGTCCCATGGCGAGCTATGATTGCAACTCCCACACGAATATCGATCATAAATTTGGTGTGAAAAGACCAGGTGCGGAATGCTGTTGTCATCAAATACTGCCTGCGGCTTTTCCTCGTATGCATCGGCGCTCACAAGTCGGACCAACGACCTTACCATCATCGTCGTCTTATGGGTCTCCTCAATCTCCGTCGCTACCGTTTGCTGATGCATCAAGTTGAGTAGTGCAAGAAGCGTCTCCTCCGCATCGTACATAGCACCTTCTTGAAAGTTTTTGTCTGCCGAAAACAGCACACTCAATCCTTTACGAATAGCACGCGAGTGCAGCACGCCACTGGACGTGTCATCATACTCCGTCATCATTAATTTCAGTGCACGCAGTACATTTGTCTCCACTGTACGAGACTCCTCCTTCACTTCCACATGCAGCAAGAAGTGTCGCATAGACGTCAAGTGCCAAAAGCTTTGAATCACCACATTCAAGAAGCAATTATTTTCGCCAGAAGTATTGAGCAGCCCTCGATGCACCGATGCTCCTTTGACCCACAAGTTAGCCTCCTTCTTGTTATTTGCAGCCAAATTAACCTTCTCAGACGGAGAGTCAGATGAAGAGATTTGATCACTTCCCCCTATTGGCACCGAAGCCGGAGTCGGAGGCCATTCCTCGTCTACACGACTCGTCAATGCTCGTAAATTGTGGATCCAGTTACTAGCAGCTGTGGCCGTAGGGCAGTCGATTTCCAGCACTTTGTCTGCATTGTCATCCACTTGCTTTACACTCATGAGGAAGGCAAAGCGTCGACCATCCCAGGGCGCCACACCCAGGACTTTATAGCTGCGTAAAGGCTTCACCAGTCCCGATTGTAAGTCACCTGTACTGGGCTGAAACTTGAACGTACTAAACAGCAGCGTATCACGTGTCAAGATACAGTAGCGCATGTGTCTCGGTCGTACGTTCACCATACTGCGAGTCTTGAGGTTAAGCCAGCCACGATGTACAATCTCTCCAAAAGCAGATTTAAGGGGACCATTGTCACTGGACAAAGGCATTGGATCCAGTGATGTAGGCTGCATCCTAGTTGCTACAAATGGCGACAGCTTTATCGCGGGTAGTCGTCAACAAAATATCGTATCATATGCAATAGAAAGACCGTCAGATAGTGTACTATATAGGAGCAAGTAGATGTTGGTATGTATTACCAAGCCAAGAGAACAAGCAAGACGTGAGATCAAGTGAAAGCGCAAATAGAATCGCTCACGCGGAGCCGTCGCGTCGTTAGGAGGAAAAGCTGTTGTTTAAATTAATGCACCGACTCGCTTTCTTCCGCTCTCATTGGCTCAAATAAAGTTGAAACGAAGTGTTTTTGACCAGGTACAGAAAAACTCCCTTAACTAATACCCTTTTTGTATCGGCTAGTAGAAAGTGGCCACAATCGGTCTCGGAGTTCTATTATAATGTATGACATTTATCATCTGCGACAAGTATAGGATAATTATTAAAAGCTTAGCCATTAATTATGAAGGGTTTTTTGCGTGTACTAAAGAAAAAATAAGCAGTTGAATACCTGCTTAACAGATAGACATTTTCAGGTTAGTGTACCGGCAAAGTATAAATTATTTGCTTCCGGCTTTGTCCCTAGCATATATTAATACCTGTCTTAAATGATAGACTTTATAAACATAGAATATCGGCGTTCTCAGAGTATTATTTTAAACAGGTTCTACTTCCTTTTGTCAGTTGAGACGCAAGTTCGGTCTCTGTCTTTGTCGTCTCCGTCTGTTTTGCTGTCGACGTCGTGGTCACTTTTGCCCTCATACACGTCATCCTCTTTATCGCCACTGTTACTTCCGAGTCCGCCACAATCTTTTCTTCTTCTTCTTCCTCCTCTTCTTCTTTTCTTCCTCTTCTTCCTCTTCTTCTTCTGCATCAAAACATTTGCGTATTTCATTTGCTGCCGATTGCGTAAGGAACGATGCTTAATGCTTTTCAAGTTGCTGGCAGAACAATCTAGTACTCTGCTGACAGCAAGCTCGTGTTTCTAACACTCATTTCGTGTCCGTCTCTCGTTTTGACGAGGGAATGTGCGTCTCCAAAGCTGTAAATCTGCCGACTCAATCGATAATGCACAATGCCTTCCTAGCAACTCCATCGTGCTCAGGTCCTTACATACCGTTTCCCAGTCAATGCCGCTTACTTTACACATCAACATGACACTGTTGCATTGGTCACAGTTGCAAGTATTTTTTAAAAAAAGTAAGAACAACTGCAGCATCGACTCCGACGAATTCATTCCTCTGTTCCATAATAAAAAACGGCGATGGCCATAATGAAGCTTATGTCAATTACATAGTCGATGGGGTCCACACCATTCTCAAGACGTTTTTTATTTCAAGACTGACCAGTCGTCAGTCGAACAAGAGACGAGAGAGAGCTCTCAGACCAGTACGCGACGTATAAGTCGTAAGTGTTGAAAAGGTACGTGTACAACCTTCTGCACAGCCGTAAAACTCATCATGGAAGACGCCAAGCAGCTACATCATCGTCTGCTCAAGTTCACACGAGGTGAGGTGACGGATGAGGACAATGCATTGGATATTCTGCGTACATTAGAGAATTCTGCTGTAACGTACACAATTTTGAAGGAGACAAAAATGGGACATACGGTCGGAAAGTTACGTAAACACGCAAACGAAAAGATTGCGAATCTGGCTCGTCTGCTGGTCAAGTCATGGAAGAACATGGCGTTGTCCCCTCGTGCTACTTCCGAGCCAGAGCGCAAGCCATCGAGCAGTAGCAAAATGGCTCAAGAGGCTTTGGAAGCAAGACTTTCTGGCTCTAATGGACTAAAGACAGCCCCTAAGCCTGAAGCAGCTAAAGTGAGCTCTTCATCGTTTATTCCTGCTGGACTGGACAAGGTTCGAGCTACTGTACGGATGAAAGTAAAAGAGATTTTAGAAGTTTCTGAAGGTGGCGGAGATGTCGGACAAGTGGCGGCTGCTATTGAGGTGGCAATGGCAAGAACGTACCATATGGGAGCTCCTGGAGAACAGAAGAAGGAGTATATGGCCAAGTATCGCCAGTTGTCGTTTAACTTGAAGAAGAATGGAGAGCTGCGGCAGAATTTGCTGGATGACAGTGTCAGTGGGGATCAATTGGTTAAGATGACGGCAGAAGAGCTAGCAACGGAGGAGAAACGAGCGCAGATTGAAAAGCTAAGGGATGATGCATTCCAGGAAGCACGTCTGGATTGGGCTGAAGCCAACCATGAAAAAATTCAGAAGCAAACGGGTACTGAAGGTACCAAGGGTTTGTTTACTTGTGGACGTTGCAAATCGTCCAAGACCAGTAACACACAGAAGCAGACGCGCAGTGCAGATGAACCGATGACGGTATTTGTCATGTGCCACAATTGTGGCAATCGATGGAAATGCTAGTGTCGAATGTCGGCCATGCCGAATTGTTCCTTCCTTTCCTCCTACGCACCTCACCTCACCATTCACCTAGATGATTAATTGCTTCTTTGCATTTTTAGGGGCCCTGTTGCTCTTCCTTTACATTTGAAACTGTGTGCAAAACCACGCTGCAGTGGGAGGGGGAACACTTAAAGACGTCATGTCTGTCACGCACTCGCACACTTTGCTAAGGTGCGTGACAATTCAATACCAAGCCTTGACCCTTCTTACTTTGTTGCTATTAATCTTGCTTTTTGGGGTGTGAATTGCGTCTTTAACAGCGCGTTTGACATACGTACGTTCGACGGACAATTGTCAACCAAATCAAGTCCTTGGAGCACATTTGTCGACGAGCCACTTCATAGAGTAGACTTTTGTATGTATTGTCACTACCTCCAGACGATACTCCTAGGAATTTGCTTCAAACCCCTTTTCATGTCCGATATGAATCCAACAATCGTTAGTGTTTTGATAGAAATTGATCCGGCACTTGGCCAAGTAAGTAATACAGATAGTTTTTACAGCTTCAACATGTATATGGATGTACCTCTGGGAAGCGCCGTGAGAATAAAACATTGGTCCTCAAGGTCTTTTGTTTTCAAGGACCTCTATCGTTGTCATTTGTCAACTTTTGTTCAAGCGTGTACTAGATTCTTCACGCTAACCAGTCAATGTCCCCGTCGTCCCCGAGTTTTGCTTCAAGCTGTAACTCTACAGCAGAAAATTCTAGTCACAAGGTCGGAGCTTTCAAACGTGCTTTATTGTTTGCCGATTGCATCAAGTGGCGGGACGACCGTGACGTTGCTCGTGAAAAGGAGACGCTGCCTTTAATTCCAGAGACTCGGGGTAGTGATCAAAAACACGACCTGTTGAAGCGTCAAGATGCCGATAATAAAGATATTGCACCGAAGAGGACGGGCTCAAGTTGTAAGACTTTGCTACGGGCACTGGAAATTGTGGTCGTTATGGTCGTGGTTGCTATTAGTCTAAAGGTACTGTCGACCAGATCAATTGGCCATGGGGTCCAAAAAGCACCAACGTTTTCACTGCATCGTTCTGGTGGCAAATTTATAAGCGGTGGCAATCGTCTGCGCTCTTTTCTTCGTCACATGAAGACTCGATCACCCGAGCTGAGTAAACTCTATACTGACAAAGAGGTTCCGCTAGGCATGAATGTGGAGCTAGAGCGATCTATGGATATTTACTGTCGTGGGCCCTTGTTGCATGCTGTTCAGATGGCCAACGTCTACTCGGATAGCAAGTACTTTGTCGATATGCCCATCAAGGTAAACAGCAGTGCGTTTGACATCTTGATGGATTTCCAGCATCGTGAACTGGCGATGACCGAGTACCGAGACAACGTCCATCACACGCACGAGCAACAATTGCGGCGGTTTATTGATGACCACTTTGACTTGCCAGGAACGGATCTGCTGCCGATCACGCCTATCGACTACCAGGAGCAATTTCACCCGCCTATGGTAGCTGACATACAAGACGAAGAACTCCGGGAATGGGCGTTTAGTCTGCACCAGATATGGCCGAGTCTTGGGCGAATTCGCAACCCGCACGTGAAAGGATCACTCCTTGGTTCTCGGAAGCTGGGTGAACCAATTCTGAATCAGCCTGCTAACGTGTTGATTGTACCCGGTGGACGCTTCCGCGAAAGCTATTATTGGGATTCCTACTGGATTGTACAAGGACTTTTGGTGAGTGATATGGCCGTCACTGCACGTGGCATTGTAAATCATCTTCTGGAGTACGTGTTTGAGTTTGGGTTTGTGCCCAATGGAGGGAGAATCTACTATTTGACGCGGTCCCAGCCGCCCATGCTCTCGGATATGGTCAAATTAGTTGCTCGTCTTTCAGTTAACGGCACCGACACGGAGTACGATGACGAATATCTACGAGCTGCATTGCCTATTCTGGAGCGTGAGTATGACTTCTGGATGCAGCATGGACCTTGTGGGCATGCAGTCGAGTTAACACGAGGGGATTCGAGGGCGGGAGCAACGAATAAAACCACATACGTTTTGAACCGCTACACGTCCAATGCCAACCATCCACGACCCGAATCGTATCGGGAGGATGTTTTGATTGCTTCTGAAATTTTTGACCGCACCATTCATATGGACGATGGCAATGCTGCGGCCACGGAGCGACACAAGGACAAGTACTACAACAATGTGATTGCTGCTGCCGAGAGCGGGTGGGACTTCAGTAGCCGCTGGTTGCGAGACCCATTAGACATGACAACGATGTTGACTTCTTCTGTGGTTCCTGTTGATCTGAATTCGATCATGTACCGGGTAGAACGCAACCTGATGGAGTTTAACGAACACTTTGGCAATAAAGAGCAGGCACACTTTTTTGAGCGCGCTGCTGCTAGACGACTCGAAGCCATTGACGCAATTTTGTGGAGCGACAAGCATCAAACCTGGAAGGATTACGATCTGGAGACGGACACTCATTCAACTATTGTTTCTGTATCCGACTACACACCGCTGTGGGCGAAAGCGTACAATGCAACCAACATTGACCGTCTGAAAAACGTCGTGACTTCACTCAAGAACTCAGGACTAATTCAAGTCGGTGGTGTGCAAACGACAACCACTTTTTCGGGTCAACAATGGGACTCGCCCAATGCATGGCCGCCGGAGCAAGATATTGTCGTAGAGGGCTTGCTGGCCGTTAATACCACGGAATCGCACAATTTGGCTCGCGAGTTGTCACAAATATGGACACGAACTAGTCTTACGGCTTGGAAGCAGTCGGGTTTGATGTTTGAAAAGTACAATGCGTCTGAAATCGGTGGATTAGGTGCTGGCGGTGAGTACTTCTCGCAGTTTGGCTTCGGTTGGACAAACGGCGTGATTTTGAAATTCCTCACGATTCATCAGAATCTTTTGCTTGCAGATTAAGAGGCATCAAGTGCCTTGGTAGGTGGTAGCAATGAATGAATCAGCATATAACAATCGATACATACAAAAAGGGAAGTTTTGTATAAAGCAATAACGCGATGGTGTGCACAATGTTGCCTCACAGATGCCTCCGCTTTTATTGCGTTAAGGTCGTCTGCAGACAAGCTACTGCTCGAATCCTGGGACATAGTCAATAAACTTGGCTTCCAACTTGGGCTTAATTGGCTGTGGCTGGCGTCGCAGCAGCAAAGACGTACGGCTTTGCGTTACGAAAGGTCGACATGTCCCGGATCGAGTTCGCGTGGAATTTGTACTCCACCAGCGTATTGGAGTCTAGCATAAGAATTTCCTTCAGCTTCTCGCTATCAACGAGCAAAACAATAAAATAAAACACATTCATTAGTGTGGTACCAATATACTCAATCCGTCAAACTCAGTACACACCCGATGGCAAAGCGCGTGCTATCATCCGAGTTGTCAGCATTCCAGACAGACAGCATATCCTCCTTGGAGCGGATGGCCACGGCGATGCCCACGACATCAAGCTGCTCAAAAGCTTCACCAACAGCGGCAAAGACCAGATCCTGCCACATTTTTCCAAGCACATTGGCTTTTTTCTTAATCTTTAGAATCCAGCAACCACCCTGCGGAAATGCCTCCCACATTGGGGCACAGTTGGACTGATCACGGAACAAATACAGGTTCAGATCTCGGCTCAGCTGTGATGGACGCTTCACATGAATATAGTGGCTACAATAACAACAAGCAGAATCACCAAAAAAACAAACCACCTTGAGCTTCTTCTCTCCTCTCTCTTAATATCATCACAGCTACTACTGACCGCCAGAAATCCTCCACTGTACTGAAAGTGGCAATTTTCTGTAAGTTCGACTGGTACGTTCTATAATCAAAAGAAAACTACAAGTGTCAGTTCTTACCAACAAACAGCGTTAACAATTGCAACATTTCACGCACCCAACATCAATTTTCTTCGGCATTTTCTTGTCGTACCTGCGTCCAATGACACAAAATCACGTCAGATATTCTCAGCATTGATCCAATGGTTTCTATATTTTATTTTGCATTACAATCACTGACCACAGTGACCATCCCGTTTGTAACGGATGTTCCTCTTCTTCTTCCTTTTCAACAATAGCGGGCGTGGCCGCCATCTCTTTTATCGCAACTAATTGTCATTATAATTTAGATAATAAAAAGTGTCATCATGTCAGTGGTAGTGCAATAAAAGAATAGGAATTGAAGTTCTGTATAGACAGGTATTGAGCAACAGGTCAATGAAAGCAGCATCAAGCAGCATAACGTACGTTCCTCGCCAGCCATACTTTATTGTGTTTCGTGGTGTGGCAGACGCCAAAACTCGTTTATTCGTACAGAATAATATTTTCTACTTAAGCAATTTTATGCTTAAGTAAGGATTAGCTGAAGTTTGATAGCAGCGACATCTCGTTTCTGCTGAAAATTATTGCAAAAAAGGGGTACTAAAACAACCGGTTTAATGAATAATTGCTCTTTCTCATTATATAGGACATCAAACCTTACCAGGAATATTGAGCTGACAATATCGTCGTTGAAAAGAGGGCAATAAACAGGAACGAAGACTAAAGTTGCGTCAGCACGCGACTGTTCAGCAAATCTTCTACGAATGAAACGAAAGCTTTTCTTGCAAGGGGCTACAGTATAGCACAAGGCATAACAAGCATGGTAGATTTTAAAGGTACTTACTACCACATAAATAGATGACAGATATCGATAACTCCTGCCACATAAACCATCACATTTTCACGTCATTATTTTAACGATGTCGTCTTGTGTAATTGAGTCTGATACAGTGCTTGATCAAATTGTCTATACCTTTGAGACGGAAGGAAGTTCAAGCAAGAGGCTAAATGCAGTAATATAAACACATATTTTGCGCCGCAAACTGTGATCTACTCCATGACGGTGGAAGTGGAATCGTCTGGAATGCATTCAAATGCCAACGGTATATCAAAACATACCAAGTATATTGATCGTTCAGGAGTACAACCACGCCTCCATCTGATACGTTATGATGAAAAGCTAGCCAAGGTGTCGATTTGTACTCGCCAACATATTGTGGCGTGGCTGCTTCCATTCGGTGTCAACAGTTTGAGACCCTCATAAGACTCTTCTTCATATCACTTAAGACTCTTCTTCATATCACGTAAGACTCTTCTTCATATCACGTAAGACTCTTCTTCATATCCTCTCGGACTGCGTAGGAACGAACAAGTGTTGGACAAATATCAACACCCAGTGGACTATATATCTCCAAGCGATCGCTGTCAAGAAACAGTGATATAGTATGAATAGCATCTATCTACGCCTAGCAACAGAAATATTCCAAGACATCTGTCAACCAGCAACCGGAACGGTAAAGTCCTCATAGTCAATACAAGACATCTTCTTGAATACTCGAATGCCTTACGATAAAGAGACAGTCTCTTTTCTCATCCTCATTGAAAACTCTTATACGATCTCTATGTCCAATGCTTCGTCTGACACGCAGCCACCATTCGTCCGATTGTCCGGACGAGATGGGGAGCTCCTACACCAAAAAAAAGACAAAGTGCGCTTTGGAATGGATTAGAAATAGCTCTCGATCTTACCATTCTTTGGCTCTCTCTCTGGGTCTCTCACATTCCAAGTAATTGAGTCGATATTGTCATGATGGAATCCCATCCTTTATCTGAAACGAGCACCGTGGACGAGGACCAGCTATCGGTGCAACATCTTCTTCCTGAACCCCTTGACATTAATGACGGAGAGATCGAGGTACCAATCTTACAAACAGCTCAACCGAGGACAGAGTCGACAAAAACCTTTTGGATCGCAGATGTCGTGACTCGCCCGTGGTTTGGATGGTTGTTCGTATTCGTTTTCCTACTTTTCTGCTTCTCGGTCAGTCGGTGCATTGCTCTCAAGGCGTTGGCTACCATGTACGGCAGTCTTCAAGACTACACGGTATCCTTTAAATTTGCCGCTCTGAGTCTCGGGTTCATGGAAGACTTTGTCTGCACGACCTATGTGGCGTGTATTTTATGGCTATGTGATACGCTAAAGCTCGAAGTTGTCAAACGATGGAGTCCTCAAAACCATGAGCAACTTGTCCGAGTCATCGGCAACATCGCGACGTTCACAGTCTCGTGGGTTTTGTTTGTTGTTGTGATAGCGCCATTTGCTTTCGACTTGTTGCTTGTCATTAATCGGAATATGCGATTCTCCATAGACTTATTGGCCACATTGATCAGGGAGAAACAACATTTGAAAGATGCCCCCATTTCAATTGAGGAGTTCCAAAGAGCCTACACAATGGTAGCTCTTCTAGTGACTGCTGCTACAGTGTTTGCTCTCGTTAGGGCATGCGCGAGCTGGGCTGACCTTGCGTGCTGGAACCCAACGCACTTGGTAGCGATCCTGGTCAAGAATCGAGGACAAAATGAAACTGGAAGGGTTTTTGAACGCGCAAAGTATGTCGAACTTGCGCTTGAAGAAGAACAAGACGTAGCCGAGGCAGAAAATTCTCCAGTGAGGAGATGTGGAGAGCCTATTGTAAATCATGCTATCCGAATTGCCGTTCTTTTCGTGGTCCTTGTGGTAATCCCCGCGATTGTTGTGATAGCACGCTATGCGTTTTCACCAGTGGTGGCATACGTGGCGCTGAACGCGACTTTGAATGAGCTGTTTGGACATGCACTGCAGCCTTCAGCGACAGATGCCACGTACACGAATGTGAATAGCAATCTATCTTGGATGAAGACGTATATACACCCGACCGAAAGATACAAGCTTTTCGGTAATGATTCACTTTACCGCCTGACAACGGGATTTCGCGGAGATCTCGCTTTCGATGTTAATGTCTCAAACGACAACCCACCAAACGTTATTGTCATTGGAGTCGAGTCTTTTCGCTTCCGAGATTCGCATTACATGGTCGGGAAGGACGACCCATCCAACCTGTACAGGGGCACAAACCTCACTATTACGCCAAATTTCGACAGATGGGCGAAACGTGGAGTTGGTCTCCGCAATCTCTGGACAAGCATTCCTACCAGCCGGTCGGTGGAAAGCATCTTGTTCGCTCAGGTTCCGTATGACAGCGCTACGAAAACCGGCCTTTCGGGAGGAAAAAATGGCACGAAACTAGCTGGTCTACCACAGCTATTTTCGGCTAAGGGGTACGAGACTTTTTTCTATACCGGGTGTTCTATCACCCTAGACCAGTGGGACATATTTTTCCCTACGCATGGCTTCGACACCGTTTGGGATGTGAATCAGGTAAAGAAGCTGGCCGAAAACAATCTTAAAATTCCCCATACAGATTGGTCAGGCAAGGAGAAGCGAGCGTATCATTGGGGTGTTCATGATGACTTGAATTTCAAGATACTTGGCGACCTGCTTGTGAACAAGACAATCATGCAAAAACAACGAGTGGCGAACGGTGAGCCGAAAATGCCGTTATTCCTCACGCAATATACCACGACTAGTCATTCACCATTTGTAGCCGTGCCTACATGGTACGCGAACTCTAAAAAACCCGATTTTTCCGTGCTTTATGACGGAGAGAAGAAAGCAAAAGAGATTCGACAATATTACGAGGCCCGGTACTTCACCGATATGGAACTCGGCAAATTTTTGGACCGCATGAAGGACGAAGGCATACTCGAAGACACGATTGTTGTCATTATGGGTGATCATGGTACTACACCTGAAATTGACATTATATACAACGAAGAAGAATCCGTGACGCGAGTGGCAGGCGCCATTATTGCAGAGGGACGACTAGGAAAAGCTGCGGGACTCTTGATCGAAGATGCTGTCGAACACTACGATATGCTCAACACGCTGGCGGATATCACGGGTGTTCCAGAAGGAGGATTCATCCAAAATGGTATTGGACGCTCGCTTAAGCGCAATGTTCCGTTTGGCGAGCGTGCAGTCTATAGTAACATGCCGGGTCGCAGGTTGTCTGTTGTGCGTGGCAATCAACGTCTACGCTACGACAATGTGATGGATACAATGCTGCTTCACAATATTGAGACTGACTATAGTATGCTCGACGATCTGTTTCCAAAGCTCTCGTTGAAAGAGCAAACAGAATGGGAGATCTGGCGTAAGAATGGACGTTACATCACTGAGTACTACAAAAAGCGGTGGGATGGGAATTGTTTGCTTGCTACTAACTGCACTTTGGAATTATCTGAATAAAGAAGACGTACCGGGGCCACTTGAAGTTTCATGAGCACGTAAAGCACCAACAGGTGTGGGAATGAACAAGAAAATATCTTACTTCACGTTTTACAACTTGGCAATTCTTCCGTTCTGGTTTGACCACTAAAATTTGTCATCAAGTTTGTACAAATGATCAGTCGTCAATCCGTGTAACACTTCGATGACAAGTGTCGTGCTGCGACTGCGTAATTGGATAAAGTCGACGGCATTGAAAGTTAATTTACCGTTTGGTCGACGAGGCTTCCGATTACGCCGCCATTCTGTCATGGCTGGCTTTGTGCCACGGTCACGATGTGACACAAGTGCAGAGGTTTAGCTGTCTGCTTTGTATGTCGATCTCGCACAATGGTGGTAAAAACGGATGCCTGAAGAGTGTAGAACGAAAAACATTGATCACTTGAAGGGTGTCGTGTGGTGTAAGTTGTAACGCACCGGTTTTCAATCCAGCGAGTCAACGGTAATATCAAGTACGTGTGCATTGGCGATGAGGAGCGTCTCATATCCAATACAAGTTCACATCCGAAGACGGGGCGTCAGGACGATCACGGATCGACCATCTACTCGATGTAGATTGCGTACAATACCACGCAGTGATTTGGTCGACTAGCGCTTCGGTTGCATAATCTCGTTCCGGTCGCGTAGCGTCAGCAAACTATTCAAACCGTCACTTAACGCAACGTCTCACCTGTGCATCCTTTGCGACACTTCTTGTATGAAATTTTGCCACCATTCGCTTCATGACCTCCTTATTGTAGCTTTCGTCGCAATGTTCATGACACTAGAATGCAGCCATCTTGGTTAGTCTTTTGTAAACTCTATCAAGGACCCACTGCACGATATGATTATGTCCGACACGATGTTGGTATCGTTATATAGCAAGAAATTTGGTCGGTCTACTAAAGCACGTTGAAACGAAGAACCTTAAAGTTAAATCCCAAGGAAAAACAAAAAGTGCCGTGGTGCGCCGAGGCAAGTGTTAGAATTTTATTGTGCTGCGAGAATGATTAACCACTACGTAAATTTAAAGAGATAACGACTGCTGTGCAGAAATCAAATACGGACTGACAGTGAAGACGAAAGGGCCGTCACGGACATCATGTAATATGTATCAGTCCCAGTGCTACCTTGATACTAGCTGTCGCCGCAATGTAAGGATTCCGGTAAAACTTGGAGGAGAGTGAAAGTGTCTTCTCTCAAGCTTCAGTGATAGAATATCATCGTTCGGACGTCAAGATACTAGTTTGCCCAACAACGAGACACTCTTACCCCTTCACCAGATACGCAAGATATCCTCCAAGCAGCGATATGGCTGCTATTATCACTACCGGCTTCATTTGTCCTTTTGCAATAATTTTCCAGGCTTCAAGTTTAGTGTACTCCTTCTCAACCTTTGCATTTTCAAGCTTGAGTTTCTTCTTGGCCATTATAGTGTTGAATCTCTCAGGAGAAACAACCTTCTTCAAAAGTGTCTCCAGCTCAGTGATACTTGCGACAGGAGACCCTCTCTCTTCTACTTCTTCTACTTTGTTAACGATCGTCTTGCTACCCCTGAGGAAGCATTTTACGTTACTACGGTTTGTGAAGTTCATTTCTTGTTTCTTGATTGGGACAATACTATCACTGGTGGCGTGACTGTAGCAGCATGTGAGAATGAACACCACGAGCAGGCGACTCATGTTGGAAAATGGAATGACTTTGTTTCCTCGGCTGAGAGAGGACCTAAAAGTGGCACATGGAGACTTTGTCTATTGACACCCACCAATCAATATGATGACACTCGAATCTTCATCTGATCCAGATGAAGACCCGTGATGTTTTTTACTGGAACTGGTAAACCATTTTTTCGTCCATCATCTGATGGTTCAATAGGAGTTCAACACCATCTCGAATGAAGCTTGTACAGAGCAACTTGGCCGTGCTTCGACAGGCATCAGACATCATTGCATGAATGACAAACCTCTATACAATATTTAATGTTAAAGAGTTGGGAGACCTATCTAGCTACACCTCCATGCACTTGATGGCAAGTTGTAGCACGAAGCAGTTTAATAGCGACGTCCACGGCCACCACTGCCGCCACGGCCACGGCGACCGCGACCGCCACCGTAACCACGACCACCACCACGACCACCACCGAAGCTCTGTGCACGCATTTGGTAAGCTGACTGTTGCAGCTTCGGAAGCGTCTTCGGGATCGAGTATGGGCAATGCATACCACCATCCTCAACCAGCTTTTCCAAGAGCTCCAGACCAGCAATCGGGAGGTCAAAGCAAGCACCCATCGAATCCTCCGTCAGGGTCAATTGCTTAATGTTGGTCGCGATGCTCTCAGGAATGTCACGGTTCAAAGCATTCCAGACGTATCCCTTAGCACGGATACAGTTGGAGCTCGTGAACAAAACTGTCACGTAGTCAGGCACACCAGACATGAGCGACGTACAGCGAGGTGGCTTGGTGTGGCCCGTGATGCAAGCCAGTGCAGCCGCCAGACACTTTTCAGGTTCCATACTCTCGAGGAGCTCATTAGCTTTTTCCTGAAAAAGCTCAATCATACTGGGGTCGACGTTGCCAATCTCCTTCAGCGCCTTGGCAGCAGATGCCTTAATCAGATCCTCTTGGTCTGGAGGTCCCTTCATAATGAACTTGTTTCCGATCTTGCGCTCAATCTGGTTCAGCTGGTCGCGCTGGCGAGTTGTGTACAAAGTGATACAGATACCTTTTTTACCAGCACGGCCCGTACGACCAGAACGGTGAACATACGTGTCAACGTCAGCCATACCCGACATCTTGCGAGGCGGCTCAGAGTTGATCACCAAGTCAACGTTCATGTCCAGACCACGAGCCGCAACATCCGTCGCAATCAACAGACGCAGACGGCCCTCACGAAAAGCCTTCATGGTCGTCTCACGTTGGTCCTGTGCAATGTCTCCGTGCAAAACTTGACTGTCAGTCTTTATCTCAGGATGCACTGCAAGCTCGTTACAGTCCTTCTTTGTTTCTGCAAAGATAATTGTGCGCGAGTCCTTCTTAGCGTACACACCAAGCAGATTAGCCAGCAGCGTCGGTCGTCCTTGCCAATGGCACGGAATCGCAATGTGCTGCACATCCGTCGACGCCTGATCATCCGAGTCCTTCACCAGGTTAACAAACTCCGCCTTCTGCATGTACTTGTCAGCCACTTCCTTCACCCACTTGGGGATCGTAGCCGAGAACAGCAGCGTCTGACGCTTACCTGAGCTCTCATTCTGCACTTTCTCCATCGCAGTAAACACCTTCTGCACGTCTTCACGAAATCCCATTTCCAGCATCGTATCAGCTTCATCCAAGATCAAGAACTCACAATTGTGTAGACGAAGATTTCCACGGTCAATGTGGTCAATGACACGACCTGTTGTACCCACCAAAATATCTACACCACTACGGAATGCATTGTTCTGCGACTGGTACGATGCTCCTCCATAGATGCAGACTGTGCTAAGCGAAGGCCCAGTTAATTCAAACTCGGATGCCACCTGTTTGGCCAATTCACGGGTCGGAGCCATACACACCACACGAGGTGCACGTCCACGCGCGCGTGGCCGCTTGTCTTTTAGTAAAATCTCAATCACTGGCAATGCAAAGGCAAGTGTCTTGCCCATACCGGTCCGAGCACGACCAATCAGGTCCTTTCCAGCCATAATCTTGTCAAATGTCATGGCCTGGATAGGAAAAAGTGTAGTAATACCTCGAGCTTGAAGGTTCTTCTGAGTCTCATCACTAATGTCAAATGTCTCAAGCTGTGGATTCTCCGTCCCGCCAACGTTCGTAGTCTTGACTTCCGTCTTGAATTTCTTCAACGATGATACACCATTGTCACTCTCGTCAGACGTTTCCGACACGGGATCCGTCTCATCATTTTCCTCTTCGTTCCGTTTGCGTTTTTTACTCTTTTTTTCCTTCTTGTCCTTCTTTTCCTTCTTGTCTTTTTTACTTTTCTTACTCTTCTTGACGTGTGAGCTCTCCGTCATGGCAGCTTGGGCATGTTTCTTGGCTAATTTTGCAATTTTCTTGGCTGCTTTCTCTTCTTTACTCAGTCCAATCGTTACTTTATCAGACGTCATGGCTTGAGGCGTTTAGTATAATTAACTAACTAATTAATTGTATCTGATGGACGTCTTGAGTGGTTAAGTCTCTTTTGCTCCAGTCATTAACTGAAGTCGCCAAAACGATTGGTCCGTGTACAATCATTTCCGTACATTCGTTTTCATCCAATCAAACATCGTGCATCACTTTAATCGATCGGATTGGCTAAAAAACATCTCCGTTTCTTCCCAGCTCATACTATTTGTCCCTCTTCATGACGGAACGCTACGATTTCTCCCAGAGCGAAAATGGCTCGGCTACGTGGCCAAAAGGTGGTCTTAATGATGGTAAACGACCTCCATTACCAACGTCGTTTCGTCCTGAAAAACGAAACCGTTCAGCTCATGATGAAACCAATCCTTTTCCTTCGACTTTTAAACGTGACGCGCCTCTGTCATCATCATCACACGATGATTTACCTCATTTGGCAAGTTGGCGCTCGTCCTCTTCCTCAACGGATAATGGGGCATCAGGAGACGTAAATACAGGAACATATACACGTGTTCATTTAAAAGTAAAGGCACCCAGTCGATTGGGGGAGACAGTCCATTGTTCAGGGTCTTCGTTTGTTATGGGACACTTTAATCCGAACGAGAGTATGACATTGGTGACAACGCCTGAAGAGTACCCTTATTGGACAACGATAAAACCAATGATTTTACCAAGAGGAATACCACATCAATACATGTACGCACTCTTTTCTGGTGGTGTCTTTAGTTCCTGGGAACAAATTGACTGTGAAAGAGTCTTGATACCGGAAGGACGAGAAATGAGTGTAGTGGAAGAATATGGACACTTTGATCCGGACATGGAACTCATTCCAACAGGTGAACGGATTGAACGGTCGCTTGTCTATGAACGTCATCAAGTTGAAAACTCGATGGCTTTGGGACAAACGATGACGTCTGACACAATGACTGATGTCTCTTGTGCTGTATTGGAAAAGGAGAAAATAACATCTGATATGGTGGCTACTAAGATTCTGGATGAGAAGAATGAAGGCGATCTCTCTCTCAAGTCTCCAAGTAGCAGTATGACAGGCTCGCCTAGTCAAAGATTTCGACAAAAGAAGAAAATGCAGAGCAGATACAAGCGATATATGCCATCAAGTTATCATCCATTACCTGAAGCAATGCTGTTCTTGGTGTGCTATCACTTACCAGTGAAACTTACCAAGTCGCTGGAGAATGGATCTTGGTCAGCCAAGTGGAATCGTGATAGTTTGATTTCAAGAAGTGAAAACAGTATTGCTGAGAGTATGAACACGATGTGGGTCGGTTGTGTAACATACCACGCGCGTAGTGACCATGAAGAGCTTTCAGATGATGACAAGAGCGAGATTACAGCGATCTTGGCAGAGATGAAGTGCATCCCGGTGTTTATTGACCGTCAGCTGGCTGCAAATCACCACGGTGGATACTGCAAGAGCAAGCTGTGGCCTATGTTCCACAATGTGGATATTCTGGACATTTACTACGCGATTTGGGACCGTGCAGAAGTGATTGAGTGGAAGGAAGAGCGCAACAACGGCGAGTGGTGGGAAGCATACCAGACAGTGAACAGATTATTGGCCGACCGTGTCGGTGAGCTATGCAAGGAAAATGATACGGTTTGGGTGCACGACTATCACCTGCTGCTGTTTCCATCATATCTGGCCAACACATGCAGAAGCGAGAACCGCAAGCGACCCAAGATGGTGTTTTTCTTGCATGTGCCTTTCCCCACGTCGGAGGTGTTCCGAGAGCTTTCGCACGGCACGCAACTACTAGAAGGCGTGCTGGACGTGGACATTGTAGGATTTCACTCTTTCGATCACGCGCGCCACTTTCTGAATGCCTGCAAGCGCTTTCTGGGTCTCACTTATCAGTCTCGACGCGGTGGAAACCTGGGTGTTGACTACCGTGGTCGCAATGTGATTATCACGATTAGCCATGTGGGTATTGAAACCACACTTATTCGCGAGGTGATTGGCAACCCTGAAGTGCAGGAGGCAGCACGTAAGCTCCGCGAAAAACATGCGGGCAAGCTTCTCATTGCAGGTGTTGATGTTTGCCAGCGGCTGAGTGGCATTCCGCTTAAGATGCTAGCGTTTGAGCAGTTTTTTAGCAACTGCCCGACGTGGAAGGATAAGCTTGTGTTCGTGGAGCGTGCAAACCTGGCACATACTCGACTAGGTGACCAAAACTATAGCAGTAACGAGATCCGCAAGCTTGTTGATCGAATTACAGAGGCGTATGGCCCGGGTTGCATCGACTACGAGGAGTCGTCCTCTCCATCGACGATAGAAGACCGTGTGGCGCTGTGGCTCGCCAGCGACATTTTGATGGTCACGTCTATCCGCGAAGGACTGAACTTGAAGCCCCTCGAGTTTGTATTTGCAAAGGGCGTGGACCCGACAAATCGACCGGGTGTTGTTATCTTAAGCGAGTTTTCGGCGTGCTGCTGCGTCCTGAACGGTGCCGTGCGTGTCAATCCGTGGAACATCACGGGCCTTGTGAACTCTTTGGACCATGCATTGACAATGAGCGACGAAGAGCGGCTAGGCCGTCGTGCACGAGATTTGCCATACATTACCAGCCAACCCGCTGCGAACTGGACGAAACAAGTATTGTCAGTTCTACATGAAGTCACAGACAACCCAGAGGGTGATGAGGAATACACGAACATGGAATACGTGGATATGGAGATTGGTCGCTCTCACGTATTGCGAGTTGGCGAGCGATCTGACTTTAAGCAATTGAACATTGACAAGGTCATGGCAGCTTATATGCAATCCGAGCGACGTGTGTTCCTGCTTGACTACGGCGGCACCATTATCGCGCGTGAGAATATCGCAATGTACGTCAAGAAGGACTTCACAGCTGTGACGGGTAAAAAGCCGTCTCCACCTATGATGGAGGCACTGACAAACTTGACGAATGATCCGCGAAACACAGTATTTGTGGTGAGTGGCGTGAGTAAATCGAGCCTAAGCGCGTCACTTGGACACATTCGCGGCCTTGGTCTCGTATCTGATAACGGAGCTCTGTACTCGTGGGCTCGATCCATCAACATCGATAGTACGGAGGACATGGATATGCAGGACGACAGTGACAGCGACCCAAAAAGCGATCGTCACTGGCACCAACACAGATTCAAATTCGACTGGGGTCCAGTCCACGAGGCAGTTGATCCGATTTTAAAAGTATACTGCACGCGCACAAATGGTAGCGTAGTGCGGTATACTGAACAAAGTATTGCCTGGAACTTTCGCTCAACTGACCCGGAGTGGGGTTTGTTGCAAGCCAATTCGCTGCAGATGGATTTAGAGGAAGTAATTCGTGACCTCCCGGTGAATATCATCCGCAAGAAGGGTTTGCTGGAAATTGTTCCTGAAGGTCTCAACAAAGGTGTGGTAGCCAGACAGATCTTGACACAGGACGCGAGCATCAGCCACAGCCACCCCGACTTTCTCTTCTGTATTGGCGACGACACAACAGATGAGAGTATGTTCAAGGCCATTTACGACTATTACGCCGAGCGAACGGAAGAAAGTATGCATGGACGACCTGGCAACAGTACATACGAGGATTTTGTTGCTGCATGTGATGAAGGGCCGCTTCATCACGTTTTTACATGCACAGTGGGCAAGAAACCGAGCAATGCACATTTGTATGTCAACAATGTGGACGAAGTTCAGCAGCTTTTACAAGCGTTTGGCAAAGCATCAAGCGAGGTTTGTGGTGGATTGAGTGTATCTCTTGGTAGAATTCAACTCATGTATTTGTTTGTTTGATATACTTTATGTAGGACGGAATGCTCAAGCTGCCATGATTATAGGTTGCTATCGTGTTGGGTAGTACAGACCTTTGAAGTAGTATGAGACGGGCCAGTCGGTACTATCAAAAATCAACAGATGAAGTATGTAGCAAAACGTATGCAAAGTTCTACAAAGTAGAGCGACACAGGTTAAAAAATATCTGGATATTCGGTTGTTTTGGTGAGATAAAATCCATTTTTCGGATCATAAATGGAGACTTTGAAGCAGGACACGACGCAATCGACACTTGTTGATGACGCAAGCGAGAAAGAGGAAAAAAGCTCCACGACATCAATCGTGTCGCATGAATCTGCTGTCCCTTATAGAGAAAAACCATTGCTATTGTCTTCTACGCCACGTCGCTGCGTGTCGAAAGAGATGCTCGAGCAGACGCCTACTTTTGAAATTAATGTTCGCCTGTTAAACATTATTGCCGATTTCCAGTAGTTTTTTTTCTAACCGCTAATTTCGATTATTTTCTTTGTACATTTTTGTGAAATTACAGTCACATAATCATGAAATGATTGTACCTCAACCTTTTGGGTGTTTTCACGTCATGCAACTGATTCAAAAGTCCATTCAAATGGGAACTTTTTTTTCACCAAAATTATTTGTGCCCAAGGAAATTTGGCAACAAGATCACGTGAAATTGGCTGGAATTCCACTTAAAATTGAAATTTTCCATCAATTAAAACACGGACTTGAAAAGACCAATGTAAGGGGAAAAAAGTTGAAAACTGCTGTGAATTCGAGAGCCAAAGCTGATTATTATCGTCATGTGTTTTTTTCTTATTGGGACATTGTAGCACGCTCTGTCCTTGTCTCCAGATACGACGAAAAGTGCTTTTATCAAAGAATTGGACGCGTTGCTGGATTTTACGCGACATGAACGCGTGCAGTTGATCCGGTCTTTTCCTTTTTTACTGCAGGATAAGAGCAATGATACTATCCAGTTGAGGCGTAGAGGGAGCAGCAGCAATGGAGTGAGTTTATTATATAAGAGAAAAGGAAAATAATGTCAGTGGTGATGTTCTGGTGCTGATGAATGTAATACAATGATTTACAGGCTGATGAAGGAATTACAGATGCTACTTCATCAAATATTGGCAAACTGACAAATCTAGCCTTTGGGTTTGGACGCATGGTCAAAAAACAAGCTATTGCTGCTGTAGAACGCGTCGGAGCTGCACCTTCTGTTGCAGTGTATGTGCCAAGTTGATGGTGGAGTTAATTATTGCTGCTGAAGTAGGTGTGAACCAACTTCTTTGTTGCGGTTTTGACTTTGTGTTGCCAGATCGATCGATGAGTTGGATGCGTATTCTGCCGTGCTTTGTATGTTCTTCAATTCTACGCGGAGCATTGGTATGATTGTACAATAGTAATCAGCTTGTAAAATGGTTTGTAAGCTGACTACGCTTGGTGATTGTATTCCTGTCGACAGAAAATCTTCTTGGACTACGAGCACATGCCGATAATACCCAAGAACAAGTTAATGCTCACAAGGTGGAAACGGGAAGATCGCAGCTAAACTCTGCTACGTTGAAGAAACTGGAAGATCTCGGTAAGAAATGTTGTACTTATGTTTTCTGATATCTCGAATCTTAGCACAGTTGTGGTTGCTTGTATAGCAATTTTCCTGGATGAAGTCGTCATCGAGCTTGTAATGCGTGATGTTTACAACCTATTGGAGATCTATATGCGGAGGTTGACGCGGCAATTTGGCGACTTTACAGTGGAGCAGGCTTTGCTGAAGCGCCACCCATCTGTGTCGACGTAGTAGCAAAAACTTGTATTCCGGCATACATCTTAGGTCCCTTGCCCAATTATTCTCAAACATCGCAATGTGCTGTAAAGACACCAAAACAACGGTTTCGTATCCTATACTTGATCTTGGATGGATGAACGCGGTAAAAATAGCTAGCTTGACAGCATGCTGCTTCCTTTGCATGCACTGCCGGAGAACACGGCATAGCAGAAGTAATTTACTTGGTCTATATGGTTGCACGTTTTCAGCCGGTAGGTTCGTACCAGGTAGTGTAGGTATTGGCGCGTCAGCGAAATAAAGCAATGGTCTCGAGCTACGAATTGGCCATTGCTTAGCAAATTCGTGTTCCGAGCTGGATGTACACGTATGTCGCCCAATATTGATTAATCATCCCAGTCAGAGTCATCCAGCGAGGATTGGTCCCAGTCAATGTCATCAAATTCATCTTTCTCTGGCTTGGTCTTTGCTGAAGTTTGCCGAGGCTGAACTGCAGTGGTAGCAGTTGCAACACTACTTGGACGTCGTGCTGCAGCTGCTGCTAAGAGCCCCCATTGCGACTTTTGCGCACTGCGAGTACAGTGCTCACACATTCCGTTTGCTTGAAGCAATTGAAAACCCCACCCGCCACATACTGAGCACCTCAGTCGCATCTGAGCAGAATCCAGAATAAAGGCAAGGCGCAACCGGTTACAATGCGCGCAGACACCATTCTTTTCTACCAACCCGACACCAATGCCTTTGCAGCAGTCGCATCTGCTTACTTCTGGACCCGACGTGCCTCCAAAATGCATATCATATCCATAAGCGTTTGCTAGTGTTGTGTCTGTACCGTATGGAATCAATGCCGAAGGCACTGCCATCCCGTTCGCCGAATGTGGAGGAGTTGGCATCAATTGGTATCCTGGAGGTACCACAGCTGAAGGATACATGGGTATCGGCAAGGAATATGGTTGCATGTATGAATAGTAATATCCATATGGTGAGGGCGGAGGTGGCATCATTATGTAAGGATATGAAGGGCACATACCTCCACTGAAAGGTGGCTGTCCTAACAGTGGCTGCCCGCTCATAGGATATCCTCCAGCGTTGGCTAATCCAATTGTCGGGCCATTGCTGCTATTCGTGTGTGACTCGGTAGGTGTTACTGGCTGTGCGTTCTCGTGGCCACTGGTTCCATCCAAGTTTTGAGCAGCTAGTGCTGCTTCCATTTTGGCCATTTGTCGCCTTTCACGTCGCAGATGCTTCGTTCTCGCTTTCGTAGTTTCACCAACTTCAATGCTGCTAGTTGGCTGGGTCTGAGATTCCTCATAAATTTCATCAAAAGTAGGCGTTGGTTTAGGTCGTGGTAATTCCGATGTCAATTTTGATGCGACTAACATCTCCTTTTCGCGTTGTTTTCGAGCACGACGTTCTTCACGCATACGTTGCTTGTCATCTTGCACAGCATCAGTCTTAACCTCAAACCTCGGGCTTACTCTATCATCTGCTGGAGGATGGTCGTCTTCAACATTTTCCATGTGCTTCATTGCTTGTCGATCCACAGAAATGCCATGTTTGCTGCCCTGACTTCGATTGTGCTTTCTATGCTTCACACGTTCTGGCGATGACACATCCAAATCGTCGTCATCTTGCTCCACAACATTTTCGACAACACTCAATTGATTGTGTACATGTTGTCCAGTATCACTCGTTTCGTGGCAGACAGACACAAGGCCAACATTGCGCTCGTTGATCTGCTCCTCCTTTTTCTCCTTTTTCTTTTTCTCCTTCTTGTCCTGTTTCTTTCTCTTTTCTTCTTGCTGTTCCTGTTCCCGTTGCTCTAGTTCTAACTGCTTCACACGCTCCTGCTCTTGTCGTTCTTCTCTCTCTTTAGTGATCTGTTCATTCCTCTCTTTCTTCATTTCCATCTCTCCCTGCATCTGTCGTCGTTTACGTTCTTCTTCTTCCTTCTCCTGCTCTTCCCACCTCACCATTTTTTCATTTCCTTCTCGTTCTTCTTTTCTTAAGACGACGACCCCCTTCTTCTTCATATTCTTAGCTACTTCAGCCATAAAGTCATCTTCCATACTATTTTCTCTCTTTAACATCATATTTTCTTGTCTCTTTTTCCTTAGAAAACGAAGTCGCTCCGCTGCACTCATTCCCGCTGTCTCAGTCTCGTATTCTTCTTCCACTGACGTCAATGGCATCGTAGCCTCTTGTCCTATAGTTCCTCCTGTATATTCCGACAAAAACCCCTCTCGTCGAATATTCATCATTGGAGGTGGCCCAGTATAAATCGCCTCCAGTTTTCCGCCAAGCGACGCTTGGAGCTTCCGAAACATGACATTTGAGGGGTTTATAGCTGTTGCGACTGTCTCTTGTTCCTCCATTGTCTTTTTTTCTCTTTTATCTTCTCTTTTTTTACCTTGATGGACCTAATTAGGGGTTCATTTTGGTCTAAAACCTTCGCAATGTCATCTCTATAATTCCGACGACTTGATTTCGAGCGTACGAGGACCTCTTTCTTCTCTTTAGCTGGAAATTCCCATCTACTTTCCTTTGTATCGGCATTGTAGTAGTATAAATGACCGTCCGGGGACGTAAATTGATCCCATCCATCCGGTAAAGTCTCACCTCCCGTGCCCTCGTCATCACGACGCGACTTTCGTGTCTTCTTTGACATCGAAATGGATGCCGTACTTAGTCGAAGGTAGGCGCAACTTATCATGCACGTAGTTGACGCGGTTAGGGCGTAGTTGTTTGATTTTATTAAAGTTTTCGAGCTGATAAATCGTTTTATCTTGCCATATTGGTATTCCCCACTTTTTGCTAACAATCAACCACCCCAAATTTATTAAATTTGATTAGTCAGTAGAACTAGTCCAAAATTTATAGAAAAACGGCATTCTTCGAATCAGATGTGGGGTGGTTGATGGCTACCAAAAAGGTGGTTGATGGCTACCAAAAAGGTGGTTGATGGTTACCCAAAAGGTGGTTGCTAAAAATGCCTTCGTAAGTATAATTAGTAGACGTAGCTTCATTTATTTAGGACGCTGGAGTGTCCCATGTACTACAATTTGAGCTTCAAAATTTGAATAAAGCTTAGCACTCGGTACGAGAAACAGCGTAAACAATGAATTACAGTCGCTTGAGGCCTTTCTTCTTGTTGGCTTTCTTCTTCTTGAGAGAAACTTCAACATGGATATCAATCTTCTGTTTCTTTGTCATTAACAACGCTGCATCCTTCCTGTCCTCCAAGTTTGCAGCATCATCTGCGGATCGCTTGTATTGATAGCTACTACCACAGTTCTTCTTTTCCTCTTCTCCACTCGTCTCTGCAGTTTCATCACAAGCGATGGCCGATCGTTTCGGTGCATGAATATTTGTCCACAGCTTTGCACGTCTTGCATACTCGTCATAACTATTTAGAAACAGCTTTCCAGCCTCATCGTTTAACGACGACTCTGGAAACGGGACAATCAGCAGACAGCGTACTACTTGCAGTACATGAGCGAGTCCAAGTGTCGGCTGCCAGTCCTTTTTGAGCGTATTGACACAAATGTCTCCTGCCGGCTGCGACACATTAGGGTGGAATATCTTCGTCAGGAAAACTCCACGCGGTGGCTGCTCTGGAAAAGTTTTGGTAAGCGTAAGCTTCACCGTAAAGTATCCGCCTTCGTAAGGGGTATCCTCTGGTCCACAAATTTCAGCGTGAATCTCACCGAGCTGTTCCTCTTCTTGTGGGAGGTACCGGATACCGTTCAAAGGCTTTACAACGAGCTTCCGGAGATCACGAGCCAAGCGCTGAGCCACTTGAGGTGGTAAGTTTTCTCGTGCCAACTAGTTAGTAAACAGAATTTACAGATAAAAGACGGTGTCATATTTTCAGTTTTTTCAAAATATGAAGAGTATAGAAGGCGTCAGAGAGTGCAAGGGGTATGCATTGAAAGAACAGAGACTAGCAAACTTGGTGTATGTGTATTTACCATTGAAAGCGGCGTATAGATGATGATATGACAAATGAGCAAGACGTTATGGAGTCTTTCGCGGGAATAAATTCAAATGGTCATGGCGATGAATCGTGGTGTGGACGACATTGAATTAAAAAGATTGGCACTTATTAAATTGGAACATGAAACGACGCAGGATTTCAAGGAGAATGAAGTAATACTGTTTCCTCTGCACAAATATCGTCGAGTATGTTTTAGCTGCGACGGCAGCGGGAAAGGTTTTGTCGTCGCCACTACGTCATCAGGAAGAACAACTTCGTCCACGCCGCAATATTTTTGCGTCAACTGTGACAACCTTTACAATCGGCAGCTGGTCAAATGGACTCTTTCACGCATTCCTTCAAGTCATCGCTTTCGGTAGCGTAGTCTACATTGTCTTTCAGACGGGAATACTTACCTGCATCTGCACTGTAAACGAAGACGAGTGATCAGAGAAATCGCCAGTGTTCTGTGCGCTAAACGCGTCCACAAATACGAATCGACGCTGCTATCGGGGACGGCCCACCACCAGCGACGATCGAGCGAGTTTGTGGGGATCTTTTGCCGCCAAAGCATCAGCCGCGCCATTCTGGCGGCACTGGAAGCCCCGTACTATTCGCAGCTGCTGAAGAATGTCATCAACGCCATCGGCTCGATGCCCGAGCTCCGCCAGTCGTCTTGGACAACACGCACACGCTCATAGACCACCAGAACAAGGTGACCATGCCCAACATGGCGTTAGTTAAAAGCCGTGGCATCATGGTGATTGATATGGGTTTGTCGACTTTCTGGAACGTGGACCTGGCAAGCATTTAGGTGGTTCATGTGGCTGTTTCAGGCGGTGTTGTTTTTGTTACTGAGTCAGGCCCGCAGATCCCGACATTCATGGCTGCGCGCAACATCTTCTACAAGTAACGTGTCACTACTTCTACCACACGGCTTCGTACGCATTTATCGAGATCTTGCTGGCGGTCGCGGGGACCATTGTTGTTCGGTCGTTGGTGTATTGATTGTGCTATGTGAGATGCGAACGACTTTGTTATAGGCTGCGCGGCTTCGTGTCTTCGGCGAGCGCGTTCATCATCTACCTGATGATGCTGATTCTGACGGACCTGGCGTTCTCAGAGTGGTTTTTCATCGCGTCGATCTTGCCGAACCTGTACATGTCAAATCCAAATGGTATAGTCACAATCCTGTTCTTCGTGGTGTTCTCCAGCTTTATCGTTGCCAAATGCCTGACTGGCTGGTGTGGATCTACTGTAATGGGGCACCCTCCGACTATACTGATTACAGTATAGTCTACTTTCACTGATTACAGTGAAAGCAGGTGCCTCAATTACCTCTCTTACACAAGAGGCAGAGGAAGCTTTACTTCTAAACAAACGCTTAGAAGTAGAGGAAAAGAAAACTGTATTTAATATAGTTAACTATCTTAATAAAACTAATCTGTTATAACCTATGTTAACTATATTAAACTACAACTATGTATGTCGACAACTTGCCCTCCACTCATTGCGCGCATCCATCGGTCATTGGTCAGCGCGTTGGTTGATATGATGGCCCATATCAACCAATAAGAGGGCATCTCCAACTTCAAGGAGATCTAGGAACAATATTATAAGAAAAGGTAATATTGTCAAAATATTATTAGTTATAATAATATTTTATTGACACTTCATATAAGTGTCAATATTATGTAACGAGCTCACCCCGTTACATCACCCCCCCCCCTCAACCAACAGTCACATTAGTGACTGTTTAGTGACGATGGGAAAGGAGAACTTGTTGAATTTTCTTTCATTCAACAATTACGCTATGACAAAGTAAATGCGCGTCGCTGCTAAGGCAGCCAAGAGCTCGGCTGCACGCCTGTGTGCAGCCGCTACTGAGGCTTCACAGCCTCAGCCAGCAGACACTAATGTGTCTGCTGGAAGTCAACATCAGCCTGCAACGCCTGTTGCAGGTTCACGTAGCGCTTCGCCACGTGAAGATGTTGACCCAGAGTTAGTCGTCGACTACTCTGGTGAGTCGGATCACGCATCCGGCTCAAAGTCACCTATTCCACTCCCGGGCTCTCCCCGGGGTGATACCTCGTCGTCTAATGCTACGAAGAGGGATCGTGGTACATTGAGTGAATCAATGTACCGTGAAATGTTCGGGTCGTCTGATGAATCAGACGACTCGCCAAACGAGTCGAAGGATAGTGACTCGGGTGGGGACCGTAAGGGTGATGTCAGTGCTTCTACTGACATCAATGCTCATAGTGTCGGTACTTCTGTTGACACTAATGCTCGTGGTGTCGGTACTTCTGTTGACACCACGCAGGAGGCTTTAGACCGCAACGTATTGCGTTTTGCTCCTGATCGCAAGCCATGGATGCTACCTAAGCATCTGCTTGATCGTTGGTCTGGAAAGACCAACGAACGGTTCCCCATACCGTTGTTTGATGCGTCAAAGCTTCATGGCCTTGACGCCAGTGCGAAGAACTTTCGCACTGAGAACGATTATTACATCGATGTGTTCCTTGAACATCGATGGTATGGCCCACACAAGAAGCGTGAGGCTGACGCGTTCCTCCAATCTTGGAACGCGTTTATCACCAACGTTTTAAACGTTGGGAAAGAGGCTTGGTTTCAAAGACTTTATGCTAGCCGCACTAAGGTTAAGAAGCGAAGTACGTCCGGTGCATGCTATCGTTTGCACCGCTTATCTAGAGAGGCAGGCCTGTTATGCCTCTCTTGGGGCGACCCATGCCCGGGGTGCCTGAGCACCTCGTCAAGAGCGCCTAAGGAGGCGTACCTCCTTACTAAGCCCTGGTGGAGGGCTCGCATCTCTTCTGAGATGCGTGAAGGGATTGCTACTTTGCAATCCCTTTACGAGCGCGCTGGGCGCTCGTTTTCCAATGGTCCTTCACCATCGGGTGCCCCTTGTCGTACTGTTTGACAAGGCCGGGAACGTCGGCCATCAGTTGGGCCCGAGGTTCCCAGCTATCCGCCGAAGGTTGATAGCCACGCCACCGGACGAGATAACTCGTCCGACGTCCCTTCACCTCGCGGTGCTTTAGTAAGCGTTCCACGAGGAAGAGCTTCCCACCATGGGAGTCCACCAGCGGATGCGGTGGTGGAGGGAAAACCCTGTCCGATTCTTTCATCGGACTTGGCTGCTGAGTTAGACGGGTTTGCCCGTGTAACTCGTGAGCTCCGTTGTGATGTTGATCACGAACGGGATAAGCGTCGCCGCTTAGAGGACATTGTGCGACAGCTTGGGTTTGACCATGAGAGGTCTCGGGCGAACAATGCTGTCGCACTATTGGAGAATGAGCGGCGACTTCATTCTCTGAGTAACGAGCTGGCGACAGCTCGTCAGGAGATCGTCCAATATCATGGGAAGATCTCATCTCTACACGACCAGATATCGAATCTGGTTCGTGACAACAAGAATATGAAGGGGATTCTTGAGAGTAATGGCTATCTTCGTCGTTCGAAGAAGCCGCGTACTGAACGTACGGACGAAGACGTCCCACGTAAAACGTAGGATGCGTACGCATCCTGCGTGGCAACTCGATCGTGTATGCGTTGCCTAGGCGGCGCAATACACGAAACGGGCCGATGTACTTGGGCAACAATTTATTGCTGCCCACGTTAGTCACTACATGTTTAGGTAGGTTTACTGTTGACAGTAAAACTAAATCACCTTCAATAAATGTCTGAGCATTTGCCCTTCCATTATTGTCTGCGTTTCGTTTTTGCTTATCCACCGCTTCCGCGATGGAATCTTGCACGAAACGGACTACCGCTTCACGAGTCAGCAGGAAATCCTCAGCTGACTCGTTGCTTTTGGCTGCAGTGCATTGTGAATGCACTGCAGAGATATCGGTTAGTAATTCAGCGAGAACATTACTGTTCTCACTTGTGATACCTCGAACGATGCTGATATCTTCAGCATCGTTGTCAGTAAGAGCGTCATCGCTCTTACTTTCTTCCTCTTCACCGAAGTCGAATGATACGACTTCGGTTACTTTCACGTCGACCATAACGTCGTCGCGTGATGAGCAAGAGCCAGATTAGTTCTCGCTCGAGCGAGTTCCTCCCCCCCTTGAATTAGAGTCACCCTCTACTAAGGTGGGGACACGTGGATGGCGAAGGCCATTCACGTAGAACGGTGTATGCGTCGTAGACGCATGCACGGAGTTGTTGATGGCGAATTCGACCATCGACAAGAACTCACTCCAACTCGTAAACGAGTGGGCGTACCCTCGAAGAATCTCTTCGAGGACGCGATTGGCGCGCTCAGTCTGACCATCAGTTTCTGGATGGTCAGAAGTAGACATTGTGAGCCGTGTTCCAAGTGTTTGGAACACGGAACGCCAGAACTCAGCCGTGAACCGGGGGTCCCTATCGGACACAAGTTCACGGGGTAAACCGTGCAATCGAAAGATTGTATCGATAAACACTCGAGCACAGCCCTCTGCTGTGATCGACTCAGGTACAGCAACAAGATGCACCATCTTGCTGAACCTGTCTACAAACACGAGAATACCATTATTCCCGTGAGCGTCTTTGGGAAACCCAAAGACGAAGTCCATTGATACGGACTCCCAGCACTCTGCCGGAACGGGTAGTGGCTGCAATGGTGCACGCAGTGAAGGACTATGATTCACTCGTTGACACACCTCGCAAGCACGCACGTACTTGCGCACAAACTTATACTGGCGTGGCCAGTAAAAGTCGCGACTGACCGTGGGGTAAGTCTTCTCACGACCGCGATGCCCACTTATTGGTGCATCGTGACATTCAAACATGATCCGCAACCTGAGATCATGTTATGGCGGTACAACGAAACGAGGCGTGTCGTTGTTGACGGCTGTGTAGTACAGTAAGCCGTTCCGCTGGGTGTATCGATCGAGAGAAGATCGATACATGGCAGGCAAGCGCTTCTTAGTTTGCGTGGATGGGTCCTTGAGATACTCCATCAGGCGTACAAGATCATTATCTTGTGCG